CCTACAAGCAGTGGTAGTTACCACCACTTGCGTTTTGTATGTTGTATGTAGTATCTGTCGGAACCGAGAGTATGTACGTATAGCATGTAGTATATAACAATGATTAGGTAGTATATATACTAATTTTTAGGTAGTATGTACCATTTTTTAAGTATGCACATTTTTACGTACAAATATGTACATATTTTACAAATATAACAAAAACTATGGGCTCGTATGGAATTTTTTTCATGTAACTTGTTTTGAAATATCTTAGATATAGTATATGAACATATTTAAAATAATAAAATAGTATATATAGTACCACATAGTAGTATATGAGACATGTGGGGTAACTACCACCGGGTGGTAGGATGGATTTTCCATATATATATATATATATATATATATATATATATGCGTCCATCGCGGGCTCAACACTTGGGTCTCGCACGGACCCTAAAGCCCATAAGTCTACTCGGCCATAATCCGAATACAGTCCGGATCACATCCGACCAGTGTCCTTGGATCCGGCCTCGTAGGTTCCTTCCCTTAAGTGCGCGACCCCTTAGGTTCAAGTCGGCTTGGTCGCAGTTCGGATCACCTCCGAACTGCACGGTTGGTAGCGGCCTCTAGCAAAGCATGCCGAACACCAAGCAGACTATGAAGCTGGTTAGCGAACCTATACATCACACTTCCATTGCTTTTGCCACACGATATATGTTGTCGAGCTCAAGGCGAGTCTGTCATCCTTGTGCTAGCCCGACCTCTTTCTCGTTTCAGTGATGCCGACCACAAACCGGATTATCTCATCATCCTTGTCGCATGGCCATGCTTATCCTGGTTGGATCACATGAGGGGCCCAGAGTATATCTCTCCTGATCGGAGGGGCAAATCCCATCTTACTCGACCACGTCTCGCAGCATGGTTCATGACAAACCCGAAACCTACCTTTATAACTACCCAGTTACGGAGTAGCGTTTGGTCGGCCCAAAGCAAGTATGTCACCATCCCGAGTACATGCGCCAGCTCAGGTCTTAGGACATAGAACATATGTTGTACTAGAGACTCACAGATGACATATCGCTGCGTCTCATAGTTGGGTCTGTCCGACTCGGATCCGACTACGTCGAATCCGACCAGATCCTTCCAAGTCCATATTATCCGGTTAGTATCCAATGCTCCATGGCTAGTGAGACCAAGCCATCGACCGTGTCATATGCTAGTCTAGTTGGTTGTGCGTCCACACAGCCCTTTCGACTAGGGACCTTTTAGGACAGTTATCATACAATGCATAGTCTCACAAACAAGTCATGTACTTGATGATACACATCATTGATAATGTCCAAGGACTATCTTTATTCATAAACACATAGGAAATATCATCATACATGATTGCCTCTAGGGCATATCTCCAACAGCTGGTTGGCCGATGGCGCGCCCCCGGCCCAGACCGGGGCCCGCGGGCCCCATATGGGTCCTAGCGGGCTGGCCTCTGGCGTGGCTTCGCCGTTGTCTGTGTGGTGAGGAGGAGGAGCGGCTCAGACGGGGGGCAGCGACACCGACGGCGTGCCAGCTGCGGCGCGGAGGCGGGAGCTGTCCGGGCCTTTGAAGGCTCGGCCGGGCCTGTGGGGCCACGGGCCCGGTAGGCTCCTGCTTTGGTGTCCGGTCGGCTACCGTCGTGGACGGTGGAGGTGGGGCCCTCCAGTATGCTGACGGTGCTGCTGCCCTAGTCCCGGCTCCCCTTCTTCGTTGTGCAGACCATCTTCGCGGTGTCGTGGTGAGACAGCTTGGGAAGCTTCGTGTCCGTGTTAGCGCAGGGTGGTGGTCGGCTTGGTGGCGAGTTCCGGAGTGCCTGAGGTGGAGGAGGGGATCGGGAGAAATCCCTGTTGGCTTGGCCGACACCGACACGGCGGCGCCTGAGGGTACCACCGGACCTTTCTGGAGGGCGTCGGGGCTACCCTTCCTCTCTCCTCACCGCGTACCGGGGGAAACCTCTGGCAGCAGCGTCGTCATCGTCGCGTCCCTTCTTGAAGGTGTTGATTGGTACCGCCGCTTCGGAGTCTCGGAGTTTGGGGGACGATTTCCGGTGGACGCAGCGGTCGCGAGGCTTCGTCGTTTTTGTTGATCCGCCGTTATCAGCATTTGTTTCCTTTCGTTTTTCTATTTCTTTTCTTTTGGGCGTGATTGTGTTACTTCCGCCCCAGCACCTATCGTTGCTTGTATCGGATGGTTGCTTTGTAATACAAAGCAGGGGAAGCCCTTTTTCTTAACAAGGTGGTGCCGCGTGGCTTGTGTTTGCTTCTTCAGCCCCAAGCTGTAACGAACCAAGGCGTTCTGAACCAAAACAAAAAAAAAGTCATCAATTGAATTCTGAATCCTGAACTGTATTCTGCTCCCTCTTCTCTCTGAGTCCTCTCTTCGCCTCCGGCCACGTACGGCCTTGTATCAACAACTCACGTCTCAGCGACATGGCACTACACCTGGTATCACATTTGGGTCTCATCCGCGGCGCTGGGGTGTAGAATTCCTTCTGAAAGTTACGCCCTTTGCTTTCCACCAGATCACCCTTGAACACTGTAATTTCAGACACCGGTTGCTCGACTTTGAGCGGAATCCGCGGCGATGACTGAAGTTACAAAGAACACATTATGAATCTGCCAAAAAGAAAGAACAGAGTTTCTTACGAGCATGCATGTCTCAGGAAAAGAAAAAAGAAGAGACATGGACGAAATGCTATGTTCTGCTTTCACTTCCAAATATCTGGGTGCTCCCATTCTACTATACTTTAGCAAGTTGAGGAGAGAAGGGTTTCATTAATGAAATCAGAGGGAACCCCTCTTTTGATAAAAAAAAATTGAGGAGAGAAGACTTGCAACCTGTGGTTGACAAGACATGTACCACAATGTAATGTTTCATGTTTAGGGAGAAAAGAAAAGGAACACGGATGAAATGCTCTGTTTAGACCGAATGAAAAGAGAGGTTAAACGGAGCAGCGATCCTTCCAAAAGTGGCATGGCCGGTCAAGACATTTTGCATAACATTTTTCATGAGGAACTCCGTGTCTTCCAAATCGCTATATTTTGCATTAGGAACTATGTTGAAGAAACATTTTTCAAAGGAAAGAAACATGGATGGGAGAAATGCCTTTGGAAGAGAAAACAGAGGATGCAACACAGCCCTTCCTTGCAAATCATGTACTCCAATTAACTAACGCAGCATCAAACTCCGATGAGCAAGCACACCAAGCACACCCGCAACAATTAACAGTTGGAGTAGATCATTTTGATTTGGTATATACGGTTCTTGAGCATACACAAACCGAAAACCTGGCAACTACATGTTCTACATCACAAATTCCCCTCACACGGAAACATTGTTTATTCAGCTGCATCATAACAGTGCATATGGAAATTTTGAAGTCCAAGAAGAAGAAACATAAGTATCTTGATGGATAAAATGGACGCAGTCCAGTATTACGCGTTCTGAGCTCCATGAGATTTCCAGAGCTTGGTCCATTCCTCCATGGCATCGGCAGCTTTGGCGAAGATTGCATTCTTTGGCGCCAGCTTCTGCCTCACAACGCCAGCTAGCTCCTTAATGCAGTCATCGACAGTAACTGCGGTCCTCGAGAGCTTGAGCGACTCGAAGAAGGGAAGGACATCGTCCATCACTTTCACCCCTTCCCACTCTTTGAGGCTCTCCAAGGCCTTGCCTGCCTCTGCATCACTTCTCATCACGTAAGGCAGTCCAGTCTTCACGCCGTAGCCCAAGCTGTCGCAGACCACCTTAGCACACAGGCCATTCCATATGTCTTCAAGGGTGTCCCATCTGTGCTTCCCTTCCTTGCGGATCCGCAGGCCAGGGAACATCACAGGCCCCAGAACCTCACGGTTGAATGCAACATTTATCCCGCTGACAGGGAACATCGCACCGAGCGGAACTGTCATCACAGCATCCACATAGTTCGTGTTGCGCTGGTTCCGCTTCACCACATGCGTCATTGGGTCGTAGTCCGCATTGTGCAGCCAGAGCCCACATGAGAGCATGCATTCAACCCCCTCACGCAAGCTGAATGGGTATCCACGGACAAAGTCAGCACCCTTGCGGTATGGGTCATACAGTGTGTTGAAGAAGAAAGGAGTAGCTGGTGTCTTCAAATTGATCATGTGCTGTGTAACAGCATCAACAGTCATCCCGGCAGGGTCCTTTGCTGGGAGGCAGTTGTCATCAATCGAGATGACATACTTCTTGCGTGAAACAAGGTATCCAAAGTAACGGCATGAGTGGCCAGAGAAGTTGATGGATGTGGCACCAAGCAGTCCATCAATGTCAGACTTTGTGTAAACCTTCACATTAAAACCTGAAGGGATCTGAAGATCTGCTGTCAACTCTGGGTCTTTGACAACAATGATGTCAAACCGGGAGAAAAATGGCTGCCATGCCTGAAAGAAAGAGGTCAGGTTGGGCTGGAGTGCTGCAATCACAATGTCAACCTCGCTATCATGAACTTCCAAAGACATCTTCACAGCTAATCAGCCTGATCTAAGCAGCAGCAGTACTAGAACTTCTCAGAGCACCCTACAAACAAACAAACAAGAGGATATTAAGTCAAATAAGCCAGCATCCTTATGACATAACATTAACATTCGAACCGGCAGAGGATAAACAGATAAGTGGCATACTCGTGGGAAGGACCGGTAGAAGTGGCTGCTTAATGTTGAGGAGCTGAACAAGCAAGATGATCTCCTCGCAGTCGGTTGCCAGAAACAATTTGAGGACTCTCTCTGTCAGCTTACCAGCACTAAGGGTTCTCTGCCATCAAACAACCGTCACTCGTCAGTCACGAGAGATCTAATAACAACACAAAAAGTAAGACTACCAAGAGTGCAGGTGATGGCTGTTTCAGTTGATGCTCAAACTGAACCTGCCAGCCAGAACTTGCACCCTCAAGACAGACTTTAGATGAGATAAATAAGGCAATCATCTGACATCCCTAATAGCCAGGTAACGAAATCAAGTTCAGCACTACCCTGATATGCTGGCCAGAACACTTGTACAGTCAAAACCAGATTCTAATCTAAATAGGGCAAATGAGACATCATTCCACTGTCCCCTTAGGACAGCAAACATGGATGTCGATCAGAACGACTGTGAGTGTGACGATGGCTAGCCGTGGTGCACTTTAACAGGCCACGCATACATAGCGACGGCACTCTTGTTTCATCACGGCCGGCAATACAATACCCGACTCTGCATCGACCAACGAAGCAAATCGGCTGTAAGAAGACATGTCTGTCAGACCAATCACGCAATCTACTCCACCCATGTTCAGGTCTAGAGGACACATTCTAGTACTACCTGCTAGTCTCCAGCAGACGAGACGATTAAACAGCGCCGCGTGCGGGATCACAGAACAGCGACCCGAATCGACCACTCAGTTGGACTAAGATCCCCCAATCCAACACGGGGTCAGACTAGAACTGGCCGGAAGAAACTAATTAATCACGCACACAGTGACGAGTGATCGGCGGTGAGCGATTAACGGAAAGATTAGGGATCCGCGGGGGAGGGGGAGGGGGCACGTACGCGGAAGAGGTCGACGAGGATGTGGTCGGGGAGGCGGGAGAGGTCGGGGAGGGTGGCGATGCGGAGGAGCGCGGCGTCGAGGGTGAGGGCGAGCAGGGTCGGGGCGGGGCGCATCGGCTCCAGATCTGGATCTCGCGCTCCTTATATACCACGCCCACGCTAGCGCTACTACCAGACTTCCCTGCGAAGCGAAGCAAAGGCGCAGGCCACGTTGCGGGCCTCGATCCTCGCTCTCTCGCGCGTGCTGTTGCGTCGCGTCTGCCGGCAGGGTCAGACGAGGGAGGAACGGAAGCCCGCGCCACCGACGAATTCGGCGACCTGTATTTTTTTGCTCCCCCTTCTTCTTCTTTTTTCTTGCGTTGGGCACTTGTTGGAGTAAAAATCAAATCATCACAGTCGGTGACGGCTTTGCGTGCGCGGTGAGGCTGCCGGCTGGCCATCGATGACGGCTTTGCAAAGGGGTAATAAAGGGGATATGCTCCGCTATGCTGACTAAAACAGGGACAAGAGATGCTACAAAATATCGTGTCCGTCTAGGCCGAGACATCGCGGCCTCTGTGTTGTTGCCATCCATCTGGAAACTTGTATTTTCTGATCACTACTATGCCACCTGCGATAACAATGTTGCATTTTTTAAGGAAAAAACAATGTTGCCTTTTTTTTTATCAGAAGAAGAAGAAGAAGAAGAAGAAGGAGAAGAAGCGTGTGGCCGCTGTGTTCGGTCTCTTTTGGAGCCAAAGGATGATTATTTCATATAATAGGTTTGGACGCTGATAAGTGTCACACGTGTGGGCGTTAAGGGTCTGCTCACGCATTTTGTGTGGTGTATAAGAGAAACAGCCCATATATCTACGTGTGGGCAAAACAAGTAATGGCCACACACCTTTTTTTCCTCTCCCGATCCCCCTCACACGCATGTGTGTGGATGAAATAGATAACGCCCACACGCCCCGAACGTCATGCCTCGTACCTCGTGGTCCCACACGCCCGCGTGACAGTCACCGCGCGTCCCGCAGTTGCCATGGTCCAGACCCTCGTCCATGTTCGTTTAACTGTAGTTGTCATGTCGCTGAACTTCGGTTGCCATGTCGGACAACTACAGTTGCTGAGCAACTGCAGTTGCCATGTATGGTCTGATCTACTGCAGTTGCCATGATTTCAATACTTTAGGAGTTGCCACCCACTAACACTAGGCAGTTGTCGTGTAGTAGCACTAAAAAAAGGCATGGCAAAAAAACATGTTCGGGTAAAAAAGAGAGTTGTTGTGTGCTCACAAGCACACTAGGGCAGTTGCCATGTAAAGAAAAAGAGTTGACATCTGCTTACGTGCACGCTAGGGTAGTTGCCATGTACCATGCAGAAACACATGGCAACTCGGGTAAAAGAGAGTTGCCATCTGCTTACAAGCAAAGATAGGGCAGTTGCCATGTACCCTGCAGAAACACATGGCAACTGCCAGTTTTGGGTGTGGGCGAGAAGACAGGCGTGTGGGCAAAGTGATAAACGCCCACACACCAGCCTTCTCTGTGTGCGTGAAAACTGATGTGTGGACGAATTACTAAACGCCCATACACCAGTCCCCCGTGTGGTGAAAAAGAACGTGTGGGCGACCGGATGAATGCCCACACACCAGTTTAGTCCTACGTGGCACACAAAGACTGCTAGAACGCGCCAAGATTTGTGTAGAATTGGTTGAACGAGAATCCATGCATGTGGGCGAGTTGCCAGACGCCCACACGTGTGGGCGTTAGTGTTTTCGTTATTTTTCTTGTATATCGCCGACCATTTTATTTGTAGGATTGAAGAATAGGATTTCTCATGGCGTTGAGTCCAAACCTCATGATGTGCACCTAATATTGCATCAAAGTTCATGGTGTTCTCCTAAAATGCGACCAAACTAACTTACATTATTTATGCTTGTAGGATTAACATAGCATGGCATCTCGGTCATATGTTCTCCTAATCCTTTGCAAACCAGAGAAGCTCCTCTTTTTCTTCTTCGGGCTTGTTTAAATAAGAATTTTTAATAGGTCTTTTGAGGATTGACTCAACCGGCGGGGAAGATCACGAGCGAGTTGACTCCGCCAGCGAAAGGGTGACGAGATCGAGAGGGGTCAGGAAGGGAGGAAAAGAAATATGGACAAAACCCACCTTCCAGCCTCTAAATGGGAGGGGGGAGGGGCAAACATCAAACCAAGGCCAAAACCCAAAAAACAAGTTTTTTTCTATTGTACAAACAATCTCGGTTTTACTTCCAATAACCAGACTAAATTCAACCAATTTGTTTTTTATCTTGGTTAACAGAATAAAATCAAACTATACCTATCAGTCTATAGATATTACTCAAAGTTAGCGTCCAACTCTCTCGGTCTCTCGCGGGATGGACGACACTTCTAATTTTTCCCGTACCCAGCCACCCACTTTGTTGGGGATATGACTATTAGGTATGACCCGCCCAGAAAGGGCCGGGTCATCCCTATGGCGATTCATCTATATGAAGGCCAAGAGCATATTAACAATGGCGGTTCATAGGTAGGCTTAGTAGAAAGCCCAAACCCGAAGGCGGCTTAAAGGCCCATGGTATAAACCGCCATGTATGTAAACTTGTATTGTAAGGTATGTAAGAAAGGTCACCGAGCCGAATACATTATATGAGCTGGACGGGACTCTGTAGGCCATAGGGCGTCAACCCGTGTATATAAGGGGACGACCCAGCGATGGCTTAGCACAAGAAACAACAAATCGAGAGCCAGGTTAAGCGTATTCGCTCCTTGCTCATCGAAACCCTAGCAATACCACCTCAAACTAGATTAGACTTTTACCTTCACCGTAAGGGGCCGAACCAGTATAAACTCCTCGTGTCCTTTGTCTTGATTAACCCCTTTAAGCTAACCTCATTGCGATGGCTCCACAACTAAGTCCACACACTAGGACATCTGCTGTGACAATTCCATGACAGTTGGCGCCCACCGTGGGGCTATCGCATGATGGTTTCAAGTTCTTAGAGGGCAACCTCGAAGGGATCAAGGGATACGCCGTGGGCCGGCTGACCAAGAGTCGCTGCGGCAAACTCTACATCAACGACGCAGGCTGGGGCCCCGAGGCCGGCTCAATTGAGTACGGTTACCGGATCCCCTTCGGCGGAATTCACGTCTTCATTGGCAAGATCGGCGAACTGGGCCCTGAGCCGGACATCTGCACCGACATCATCGAGACGGCTCAGTGCGCGAGACCCGCCCGGGTTCGGCCTGCCATGAATCATGCCTTCGTGGGATTTATCCATGGAGCGGAACCTAAGGATAGATCGGCATCTGGTGGTGAGACCGTCGTTTACTCTGATGGCGAGTCATCCACTGGTGAGACTGAGTCATTGTATCAACTGCAAGACGGCCGGCTTGGGGGCTGTTCCGATGGAGACAGTATTCCAGACCCCTGCGAGCCGCCGAACCGGGTTACAATCTTCATGGCCAGTACACAGCCCGTACAGCACTCGTCGACTGCAACAGAGCTGGTTTCTGGGTCAGCAGCGGTAACGGCTGCCGGGGCAGGAAGCCCTGAGCGCCCGCCGGCTCAAGTTTTAACTGACTTGTTGGATAAACTGACAGCATTGTTAACATCGGTGGTTAACCCGGCGGATCACGATCAACATAATGCGGCGATCGCAAATTTACGTGATGAGATAGCACGTGCCAAGGAGGAGCTAAGCATAGAGAACACCAGAATGGCCGAGGAACGGGCTGCTTTGGATGCTCAGGCGCAACGGATTCAGTCGCAGTCTTACCAACTCATACTAGATCAGAACGCTTCAAACGAAGTCATGAGAAGGAGGCATTAGACTCGTCTGCCGTCGGTTTATGAGGCAAGAAATTGTTGGGGAACGTAGCAGAATTTAAAATTTTCTACGCATCACCAAGATCAATCTATGGAGTTATCTAGCAATGAGGGAAAGGGGAATGCATCTACATACCCTTGTAGATCGCGAGCGGAGGCATTCAAGAGAACGGGGTTGATGGAGTCATACTCGTCGTGATCCAAATCACCGATGACCTAGAGCCGAACGGACGGCACCTCCGCATTCAACACATGTACGGTTGGGAAGACGTCTCCTCCAACTTGATCCAGCAAGGGGAAAGGAGAGATTGATGGAGATCCAGCAGCACGACGGCGTGGTGGTGGAAGCAACGGTGATCTCGGCAGGGCTTCGCCAAGCTCAGGGAGAGGGAGAAGTGTCACGGAAGGGAGAGGGATGCGCCAGGGGCTAGGGTGCGGCTGCCCTCCCTCCCCCCCACTATATATAGGACCCCTAGGGGGCGCCGGCCCTAGGAGATGCAATCTCCAAGGGGGGCGGCGGCCAAGGGGGTGGAGTGCCCCCCAAGCCAAGTGGGGCGCCCCCACCCCTAGGGTTTCCAACCCTAGGCGCAGGGGGAGGCCCATGGGGGGCGCACCAGCCCACTAGGGGCTGGTTCGCCTCCCACTTCAGGCCATGGGGCCCTCCGGGATAGGTGGCCCCACCCGGTGGACCCTCTGGACCCTTTCGGTGGTCCTGGTACAATACCGATTACCCCCGAAACTTTCCCGATGGCCGAAACTTGACTTCCTATATATAAATCTTCACCTCCGGACCATTCCGAAACTCCTCGTGACGTCTGAGATCTCATTCGGGACTTTGAACAACTTTTGGGTTACCGTATACTAATATCTCAACAACCCTAGCGTCACCGAACCTTAAGTGTGTAGACCCTACGGGTTCGGGAGACACGCAGACATGACTGAGACGACTCTCCGGTCGATAACCAACAGCGGGATCTGGATACCCATGTTGGCTCCCACATTCTCCTTGATGATCTCATCGGATGAACCACGATGTCGAGGATTCAATCAATCCCGTATACAATTCCCTTTGTCAATCGGTACGTTACTTGCCTGAGACTCGATCGTCGGTATTCCAATACCTCGTTCAATCTCGTTGTCGGCAAGTCACTTTACTCGTACCGTAATGCATGATCCCGTGATCAACCACTTGGTCACATTGAGCTCATTATGATGACGCATTACCGAGTGGGCCCAGAGATACCTCTCCGTCATACGGAGTGACAAATCCCAGTCTCGATTCG